CTGCTTTGTTATATTGTTCTTCCATGTATGGGGCACAGCTGTTAGCTGTCAGGAACTAAAATGTTTGTGTTTGACAGATACCTGTGTGGCGTATTTTGTACTTTGAGAACCCAGTGGTAGACCTTAGAATTACTCTGATCAGCTACACCGTTCTAGCCTGGAAATCTACCGAGGGCCACACAGATGAAAACTAATAGCTTTCAGGACCACAGGGCCATTCCCAATTTGTCAAGCAAAAAAACAAAACAAAAAAGAAAAGAAAAAAGGTACTTTGTCAGAAAGTCACAGTTTATTTATTAGATTGTTTTACCTAAGGAATGTTTGTAGAAAAAAAATGCTAACAATGAAAAAAAAACCTGTAATATTCTCTCACTAAAAAACAAAAACACAAAACACTCCATTATGTATTTTAAATTTAACACTACTGACCTATTATGTCTTGTGAGTTTTTAAAACTTAAACTGAACTGAGAAGTAAATTAACACCACTGTTTCACTCCAGTTTGTTGATCTCTGGTATGGTTTCCTCATTTATTTATTTTTTTTACTTAAGAGGATTATGGGGATTTTTTTAGTTCTAAAAATTCCGGTCTGTCCCAAACAATAAGGGAGAGACTCATATCTCAGAATAACTGTTTCAGCCTGGCAAACAATAGCCTTTGAATTTTCTTTAAAGAAACATGGTGTCTATAGTTAAGTCTATAGAGCAGAAAATGAAATAAGGATAGGTAAAATGTAAGATAGATATCAGGTTTGCGAAGTGGGAATTGATGAGCAAACAGCATTACAAAAATATTTGTTTCTAAGAATCAGGAAGTCTGAGAGACATTGTTGTTACTGCTAGACTAGTGGTAGAGATGAGAGTAAACAGAAAATTAAAGGAGACTAAAGACATTGCAAAGAAGCAAAGTAATTTCCTTTCCACAGAAACTGTTCCTCAACTTCTGTGGATGTATTTAAGATGAGGTGCTAGAACAAAGTGATAAATCTACGAGCAACAGGTGCAGATGAAATGATTCATGTGTTTGAAAGAAATTTCAGAATGAACTAGGTGAGCTACTAATAAAGTTAAGCAATCTTATCAAAATAAATTGTTTCCTAGAAAAGGAAGGTGGTGAATATTGTTTCTATCTTAAAAGCACTAGGAATTGATCTTGGAATTACAAAAAAGAGCATGGTCTTGAATACTAGGACCAATGACCTATTTTAAAAAACAGAATTAACACTTTGAAAAGTGTGAAAAAGGAGTAATAAGCATAGCTGCTGCAAAGACAGACCGATCCAATTTTCCTATCCTGTTGACCAGCTTCACACACACACACACACACACACACACACACACCATTTGCTCAATGCATAATAGATGTTAAAAGGGGAAGAGGGAGAGTGAAATCCATAAGGAAAGGAAACAACACTGAAAGCATTGTAATGCCATTACAATGATTAATGGGTCACCCTCACCTGGCTTCACTGAGTCCTCTGCCCTGCAGCTCTTTTTATCTATGAGCCTGCTTTGCCCTGACTGGCCGCCCCTCCCTTCCTGCAAAGCCTCTATCTCTTATTATCCGGCCCCTGTTCCACAGGCCCCCCCCCCGGCCTTCCCATCCTTGGACCCCCAGCCGGCTGCAAAATATGCAGCCAGTCTATTTTCAAGCCACGCCAAGACAACATCTGTACACGCTCATGTTCCACACCCTGCATTTCCCCACCCTCGTGTCCCGCCCCGATTCTAAGTGGCGGGACAATCTAAGACCTATAGAGAGTGGGGAACCCCGATAGGCCAGCGTCTATTCCGATCTAATCCCACGGCCCATTGGGGATATCAGTTGGTGGCTCCCTCACGGAGCCGTGAGCACGGCCCTCCGGGAGCCGGGAGCACGGGCGTGTACGTGGCGCGGTTTACCCCAATCCCGGACACCTGCCCCTTTTGTGGCATGAAGGAGAACCTGGCACACGTTTATCTGGAATGCGCCAGGTTGCATCCCCTATTCCAGCTCCTCCAGAACCTCTTATTGAGGTTCTGGCTGCACTTTTCCCCCCACCTTTTCATTTATGCACACCCTATCCGTGGCCCCACAAAGTCGCAAGACCTCCTCGTCAACCTACTCCTGGCTCTAGCAAAGGTCGCCATCTGTAATACCAGGAGTAAGATGTTGGACGAGGGGGTTCTCTGTGACTGTGGGGCCTATTTCCGTTCCTCCCTTATGTCACGAATCCGGGCAGAGTTCCTCTGGGCGGCGTCCACTGGCTCCATCGATAGCTTTGAGGAGCAGTGGGCACTGTCCGGGGTTCTCTGCTCAGTGTCCCCATCCGGTTCCCTAGTTATAAACCTCTAGACCGCACTCCTTGTCCCCTTTTTTCATTATTTGTCCCAAGTAATTAATTGAACCACAGGTCCAGTCGTCCCTCCCGCAAGGCTGGGGGAGGGGCTTTTAGAAAGTGGGCGGGCTTTGCCCGTGTCTTCAAATAGGTCATCCCTTCTCTGATTGATACTGCCTAAAGACCCTTATTGAGTAGCCATTTGCTCCATTAGCTCAGTACTATGTATACCCCAGGTCTCAGATTTAAAAGGGCTTTGATGCTATCAGTACTGATATTTATCAGGGCTCACAATTGGGATTCACTCACCTTTTCTGACAGGTTTCATATGAGTGGCTCATTTCTTCTGAGCTCACCTCCCATCAAAGTTGAGTTGTGATGAGAACTCCTGTCAGTACACCAGGGGTTGAAGGGCCAGCTCCATGAGTAGGAGTTTGAATCTTAGCTCTCTGTCTTTGCTGGATCTGGGCTTCAGTTGCTCACACAAGCTTCATTTTTTGGAATGTGCTCCTCTCCCAGACAGCAAACACACCTCAAATGTCCACCAGTCACAGGGATAAATTCTTGGGATACACACACAGGCTGCATCTAGATTGGCATGATTTTCTGGAAATGCTTTTAACAGAAAACTTGTCCGTTAAAAGTATTTTCGGAACAGAGCGTCTAGATTGGCATGGACGCTTTTCCGCAAAAGCACTTTTTGCGGAAAATCATCCGTATCAATCTAGACGCACTTTTCCACAAAAAAGCCCCGATCGCCATTTTCGCGATCGGGGCTTTTTTGCAGAAAACAAATCTCAGCTGTCTACAATGGCCCTTTTGCACAAAAGCTTTGCGCAAAAGGGACTTTTGCCTGAACGGGAGCAGAATAGTATTTCCGCAAGAAGCACTGATTTCTTACAGGAGGAAGTCAGTGCTTTTGCGGAAATTCAAGCGGCCAGTGTAGACAGCTGGCGGCTGATTTTCCGGAAAAACTGGCCAGTCTAGACATAGCCATACTCTTATCCAGGGAAGTTTTCCACCCGCTAAGGGTTAGCAAAAGATATGCTCTCTTTTTTTCCCCACTCTGTTCTCTTTTGTTTTTGTTTTAAGGCGGGGTCAAATAAAATGGAAAACAACAAATACAAAGCTTTGAAGGAAACTAAAAAATAGCAATTCTAATGGAATTAATCTGCAAACAGATAGCATTGTCTCTAGCTAGATATGGTTGAGAAGGACTTGGAAGAGGGTTTCAATGCATGGTCTGAAAAGACACTGCCACCAAAGTTCTGCAGTCAGTAGCACAGGGACACAGACTATGTCTACCCTGCACTGTAGTTCAAAATAAGATACACCATGCAAGCTACGCAAATAGTGAATCTTATTTCAAAATAGTTTATTTTGTCATTTGGCGCTAGCTACCCAGCACCAAATTTCGAAATAACCCGCTACACCAAAACATCCCTTACTCCTCGTGCAATGAGGTTTACAGGGACGTCGGAATAGCAAGCCCAAAATAACAGGCTTGCTGTGAAGACGCGGGATAGCTATTTCAGAATACTCCAGTACCCTGAAATAGTTCCCCAGTGTAGATGTAGCCATACACATTTACAGTGGAAGATCCATAGAGGGGACACATCATAAAAACATCACTATTGCACAAAGTAATTTCTTCCATTTCTTTTGGCACCAGTTCAACCCACCGTTTACATCCCAGTGTTGAGTTAAAGGTGGATTATATAGAATAAGAAAAGGGGTACCCACTACCCCATATATTTTAGATAGATTTATTAAAATATCCAGTATACATAAATACAGACTCTGCATTTTTTTGTCAAATTTCCATTTTTTAAATAAATCTGTGTCATCTGGAAAAGTAAAACTGCATTATAAAGGTATTTGTAAAATATTTAAAACATCAGGAAATATACAAATTTTTCTTCTGCTCAATCAAGGGCCAAAGTCAGGGGTTTTTCCCCCACTTCTCACTTGTGTATGGCCCCCAACAGATTTTTCTGGGGGTCATTGGCCCCTGACCCAAAAAATGTTCTCTACCTGTTTTAGAACCACAATGCTGTATATAATTGACTTGCTACCTCATTTCTGTCTGGACAATGAAAAAAATAGTCTGTCTTTCCATTTTTCTGTCCTAACATACTGCTACTTTGTTCAGATTGCAAACTCTACTACAGAGACATTTCCAGATCTAAACAAATATCCACTATTACAATTTTTTTAATCACAATCACTTCTATATATTACATTGGGTTTTATAAACCCTACATTTTGGACCTGTGTTTTAAATATGAATGCACAAAATGTTAGTTGGTAAGTACAGCCTGGCTGTACAAGAACTGTCACATAGGGCACGTCTAGACTACATGGCTCCATCAACGGAGCCAAGTAGATTAGGGTTGTAGGCAAAGGGAAATGAAGAGGCGATTTAAATAATCGCTGCTTCATTTAAATTAAAATGGCTGCCGCACTGTGCCGATCAGCTGTTTGGCTTCACAGCGCTGTAGTCTGGACGCTCCGTGGTCGACATCAAAGGCATTGTCGACCTCCCCGTTATGCCTCGTGGGATGAGGTTTACAGGGGAGGTCAACAAATGCCTTTGATGTCGACCGCGGAGCATCCAGACTACAGCGCTATGCCGCCAAACAGCTGATCGGCACAGCGCGGCAGCCATTTTAATTTAAATGAAGCAGCGATTATTTAAATCGCCTCTTCATTTCCCTTTTCTGAGTAAACAAATCTACATGCTCCGTCCAGACGGAGCCATGTAGTCTAGACATGCCCTCAAAGTGGTATTTTACAGATAATAGGGGCAAGTCCTGATTGGTGTTGCAGAGGCTCAACATTTGATCTCTAAAACTGTGATAGTTTAGACTACTAAATGATTTAACTTGGGTTTGATATTGTGAGATACTGACTGTCCCTAACTCCCACTGAAGTTAATGGAAAGTGAAGGCTCTTGGCATTTTGGAAGAACAGACTGTGAGTCTTTGAGGTTTTTTTTTTTAAATCAGGCTTTTAAAATGCCAGGTGCCACATGTATACTAATCTCTTTAAGAAGCAATGTGCTTACATTATTTAAAAAATACACAACAGCCCAGAAGTGTTACTGTACTACAGTATAAATGAATTTTTAAAACATTAAAAATATTTGTTGGTACGGCACAGTTAATTTTGATGCCTTTAAAAAAAAAGTACCATTTGGAGCTCATGTGCACTGAATTATTCCCAAGCCACTGGATCTGGCTTGCGGAGCACCCTGCCGGGATCCTTGGGCACACAGCTGCCACAGTTTAAAGTGCAGTCCCTATGTTTCTCTGCTCTGGAGTGGGGGAAGGGGATCGATGACTTTGTGTTATCTCCCTGCCCCTAGCCCAATGCTCAGCTCCTATTGGCCAATAAGAACTGACCTCAGCCAGGCTCTCAGCTCCGATTGGCTGGAAACATCCAGCCAATCGGAGCTGAGAGATTGGCTTAGGAGGCAGGGGTAGGGCAAGTCTCTTCCACCACCCAGAGCAATGTGGAAGGAGCAACCTGTATTTTCAAGTGGTCTGGGGCTACAGCAGGTAGGGAGACCAGCCTACCTTGGGGATGCTGCAGGCCAGGAGATGCTTAGGTAAGTGCCTCCCAGCCACAGCCTGCTTCTGGCACCCTCTGCCCCAGGTCACAACCCCCTCCTTCACTCAAACACCCTGTCAGACCTCACACCCTCTCCTGCACTCCAGTCCTTTACCCCATGTGCCCTTCTGTACCCAGCTTCTATCCTAGACCTTCACCTGCTCCACAGAAAAGCCCAGCCCTTGACCACTTACCAAAAGCTTAGAGTGGCCCCCCCACCAAAAATTATTGCCCATCCCTGCACTAGTGGAAAATATTTATTAAGTGTAAATTAATCAACCTATTACAAATAAATATCAGTGGAGGCATAATCAGTCCCTTGTATTTTAACTAATGGAACCTACTGCACTTACTTTGATTATGGAGGACGGGGTGTGTCAACATTTTTATGTTAAAGCAAACGTAACTTTAATTTTAAATGTAATAACAATATTTAAGAATAAATTTACAATGCATTATCACAGTTCTAGGGCTTTTTCTTTAACAAAAACAAACAAAAGGACAAAGTCCTGGGAGCCAGAAGCCAGGGCTGGGAAGATCCTTGCTGGGAGCGGAGCTGGGGTGGTGGCCAGGAGCCCAGTGGCATGGAATCTGGCCTGGGTGGGGAACGTAGGCAGCAACCAGGAGAGGAGCCCAGGAACAGGCACCGACAGCCAGGAAGGCAGAGGCCTGGTGGCCAGGAGGTTGGCAGTCCCCTAGAAGATCCCAGAGGCTGACAACAGAGGGTCCAGCATTGACCTTCCTTGGTCCAGCAAAATTCCTGGTTTGGGACCAGTCAGGTCACAAGGGTGCCAGAACAGGGAAGCCCAACTGTATATACCACTTTAAGGAAGAATTACCATCCAGCCCTTATTGAGTTGAATGATGACCAGTTAGAAAAAGCAGAGATTCAGAAATGGGCAGGGTAGTGGGGGCATAGGATAGAAAAAAGGAAGGGAAAATTGGGGTATTAAAGAGATAACCCTGCCCCACATACTCTTCAATATCCTACTTTGCATATTTCTGCAAAAGTTATCTGATGCACTGATTCTGGTACTAATTATTATAGAGAACAAGTTTACATGTTTTGTAAAGGATCTGTTATTTCAGCAGCATTGTGATCGAAACTTTTTTAAAGCCTTGCAAAATAGTGCAAACGTAATGAGAATTCCTATAATTATCTTAACTACTAATTTCAGTATTTCAGATACTCAGAAAGAAAAAGAAACAATTCTCCCCATGAATTCTCTCAGTAAATTAGATGTATGGCATAGCATTTCCATGACTGCCTGAAAGTTGTTCCATAGATCTTGATAAACAAACTGCAAGATATCTGAAATATATACCAAAGTTACTTCATTTACAACTGACAATACAGGTTTGCTAAATGTAATCATAATTATCACTATTATCATAGAAATTAGCATTACTGTTAAAGGGTTTATAAACTGAAGCAATTCCTTAGACTGTTCTCTTTCCTTCTCACTGGCTTTGTTGCATACCTTCCCTTTTGGAATCAGCTTTATTTTTGGAGTGAGGATCTTGTTAATCTGACCAATTTCAGTTTTGGACCACACATCCTTCATTAGCTGTCCTATTCGTGGATAAACTTCAACAGGTTTAATATCTGGTAATTGCTTTTGTTTCAAAACTTTTATGCGTTGACACACATCATCAACCTTCTCAAGGAAAAGAAGTGGAGACTCCTCTTCTTGAACAGATGTGTTCAATGACATTAAATCAAGCTGTTCTTCTCTCATTCTTTTCATATTTTCAATGAGTGGTGCATATTCTTCAGAAATGTAAGCATTAACTTCATCCAAAGCAGACAGCAAAGCTTGCTTTTTATGTTCCAGTGTGTCATTAAGTTTCTTAAAATACTGCAATACAGCTTTTTTATCATCTTGAACAATGTTTTCACAGTGAGACTTCTGTTCTTCCAACTTTTCAATGAGCAAACACACCTTAGTCCAATGTTCATCAGTTAACTGCTCAAGGAGTTTTCCAGGAGTATCCTTTTCTTTCATGAAGGCACTTTGAAGGTCATCGATAGGATGACCATGATGTTTACCTATTGTAAGACAATGGCCACACACTAATTTTCTATCCAAAAGACAATAAACATTTAATGGCTGCCTATAATGTTCACTACATGTTGCAACATCTGGGTGGTCTTCTTGCTGATATTTTTCAATGATAGCTTTTAATGCAAAGTTGATAGGTAATGATTCAGTACCAGATGGAGGAATTTCAACAATACTTCTACAGTTGGGACACTTCAATGGAAGTCTTAGTGGTCTCCATATGGAAAAGTTGCTTGACAGCTGAAGAACACTTTCCAGACAATTTCTACAAAACGTGTGAGAGCACGGTAATACACGTGGGTCTTCAAATATACTATAGCAAATGGAACAAGTTAATTCTTCCTCAAAATGATGCATTTTCTGTAATAAAAAAGTTCATTTATACAATTTAGTTAACATATAATGAACTGGTTTAACATAAAATACAATTTTAATGAGCAGCCCACAGTAACATGGAATTTATTAATCAATATCCTAGAACTAAACTGATACTTTATTCCTCAGGACCTTCAGCTATCCTAGTTTTCTTGCCTTCCTAATATCTCTTTCTATATATATTTTTAAAAAAAATTCCTGTGGTACGACAGAGTGACGACATCACATCATCTGCATCCTCATGCCACCACACGCCTATATCCTCAGCCGTTTTCGGTGGCCAGCCAGGGTCCCCTCCGCCATCTGAGTCCAACCCCCCTCGGGCTACACAGAGTCCTCTCTGCCATCTGAGCCCAACCCCCAGCTGCCCCATGTCCCCTCCGCAGTCCGAGCACGACCCCCGACCCAGCCCACTCACCCTTTCTGCTGAGACCCCGCACTCCAGCCCGCTCCTGCGCCCTCTCCTTTGGCCAGACACCTACCCCCAACTTGCTCCTGCCCCCTCTCTCTGGCCAGATACCCTGCCCTCCCCGACCCCCGGTCAGACACCTACTCCCAGAGAGATGGGGGTTGGCGAGTGTAGCGAGCAGGGGGTACAGCCCCCTTGTTTGTTTGTTTTTTATAACAACTGTATAGCTGGATGGTCAGTTTTAGCACTTGGGGTTGGGGGAATCCCCTAATCCCAAAATTGCCATTACTCTCAAAGTTCGGGGAAACCTAGTATGCCCAAGATACCTGGGCTTCATGTCCTGCACAGCCTACCTCTGGGTCTTTCCTCATAACTCCTGTTTACATTGCCAGGGGATTATCATGTTCCCTCCAATTATGAAACTTGTTCTTTTCCATCTCAAAACACAACAAAAATACAAATGCCAATGCAAAGATATCTGATGGGGTGTTCCACAAGGCCCAGCCTAATTCTGGACTGGTTTAACATAAAATACAATTTTAATGAGCAGCCCACAGTAACATGGAATTTATTAATCAATATCCTAGAACTAAACTGATACTTTATTCCTCAGGACCTTCAGCTATCCTAGTTTTCTTGCCTTCCTAATATCTCTTTCTATATATATTTTTAAAAAAAATTCCTGTGGTACGACAGAGTGACGACATCACATCATCTGCGTCCTCATGCCACCACACGCCTATATCCTCAGCCGTTTTCGGTGGCCAGCCAGGGTCCCCTCCGCCATCTGAGTCCAACCCCCCTCGGGCTACACAGAGTCCTCTCTGCCATCTGAGCCCAACCCCCAGCTGCCCCATGTCCCCTCCGCAGTCCGAGCACGACCCCCGACCCAGCCCACTCACCCTTTCTGCTGAGACCCCGCACTCCAGCCCGCTCCTGCGCCCTCTCCTTTGGCCAGACACCTACCCCCAACTTGCTCCTGCCCCCTCTCTCTGGCCAGATACCCTGCCCTCCCCGACCCCCGGTCAGACACCTACTCCCAGAGAGATGGGGGTTGGCGAGTGTAGCGAGCAGGGGGTACAGCCCCCTTGTTTGTTTGTTTTTTATAACAACTGTATAGCTGGATGGTCAGTTTTAGCACTTGGGGTTGGGGGAATCCCCTAATCCCAAAATTGCCATTACTCTCAAAGTTCGGGGAAACCTAGTATGCCCAAGATACCTGGACTTCATGTCCTGCACAGCCTACCTCTGGGTCTTTCCTCATAACTCCTGTTTACATTGCCAGGGGATTATCATGTTCCCTCCAATTATGAAACTTGTTCTTTTCCATCTCAAAACACAACAAAAATACAAATGCCAATGCAAAGATATCTGATGGGGTGTTCCACAAGGCCCAGCCTAATTCTGGACTTTCTAGCCTCCTCTCCACAGGAGCTACCCTGTCCGTCTGGTGAGTTCACCACCATAGCCTCTGTCGACCGCAGCGCATCCAGACTGTCCTGCTCTGCCACCAAACAGCTGATCGGCACAGCATGGCGACCATTTTGATGTAAATGAAGCGGCGATTATTTAAATTGCCACTTCATTTTCCTATGTCTAGTAAACTCATCTACGTGGCTCCATCGACGGAGCCATGTAGTCTAGACATACCCTGAATGTCAAGTGTATTCCAAAACCACTGCCTGTATGGTGTAGGGATATAAAATATCAGTTAACTGATAGTTGAGTAACCTCATGAATTCTTATTGTTACTCAACTATTCTATAGTACCTGGGGCGGGGGCGGCTGTTGTATCAAAGGCAGTAGCGTGGGGTGCCAGGAGGGAGCAGGTCTGCAAGGGGAGTCAGTTTAAAAACCAGCTCCCCTTGCGGACCAGTTGCCTGTCT